AATACATTTTTTTATCTCTCAAGTTTGTTATTATTTTAGTTTTGGTTTTTCAAGTTTTTTTATTTAAAATATTAGTTTTTATAATTCAATAAAACCGTGAATTATTTTAACCTTAAAGGAACTATAATTTATATTTTAAAATTTAAAGAACCAAAACTAAAATAAAAACAAATTTAGAGAGTAAAAATGATATCAACCTTTTCAAAAATAAACAGTATAAGAGCTTATTATTAAAGGGAGAAAAGAGTACAGATATTTGATTGTTTCGTTAAATTCTTGCTTGCGTTGTACCAAAAAAAAAAAACAAAAAACAAAATTCTTGCTTGCGTCATTGAACTCGAGCGGAGTTTGGTTTCATTGGTTCATGGGAATGCCCGTTGCGTAAAACGGTAACAAAGAAAGATGAATGGATAAGCATGAGATCACTAGGGAAGAGTAAGAAATAAATTGTAAGTGTCCTTCGGTAAACAAGCCATACTGACTTAAATATCCTTGACAATAAAATAATGACAGAGTTTAAGAAGATTCCCATTATAAATAATTCGGTACTAGGAGTTTTTTAATGACCCATCTGCAAAAAATTATTTCAACAGAGTGGATTTAGATTAGGAGTCAAACAAATCAATGACAGCGGGATGAAGCAATCTTATCCAGTACGGCATAATTTTTTTCTGGTTATATCTTAAAAATTCTCAAGTCACTTACGGCTTGAGTCTAATATTTGTCTGACCGGAAATTTTAAAATTAAAATTCTCCTAACAAATATATTTTTTAAAATTTGAACTTATGTTTTTCTTCTTATTAAGTCCAGTACATCATAATTTTGTGTATTCCTTCTTATCTCATTCGGATATAGCCATGGCTGAATTATAAAAGCTGTTTTTCTCAATTAAAAAAGTATATTGGGTTTGGTTTCTCTCAACCTCCATTTACTTTTCAATAGAAACAACTAGTTTGAGTTGCTTTTCAAATTACTTTTAGCTTCTTTAAAGTGAGGTGCTTAAACATAAATTTCGTTACAGTAACTGGATTTTAACCACACCGATTTTTTATTAATTAAAAACCAGACACACCCACACACGCACTCAATATTAATGGAGATGTAAGAATGATGACGCATAACATCAGTTAGGTTCTCCCAAATAGTTATATTAAGTACAGTAATAGTGGTTGAGTAGAAATAAATAATATAGTAATTTTTTCGGCCAACAAAGTTAATTTTATTAATAAAATAATATAATAATTCATAAAACGCTTAAAATGAAAAACTGGTCTATGAAAACCATGGGCTTAGTTTGCTCCAGAAAACAAAACGATGGGCTTAAACCGGCGCATCTTTTTCCTTAGTGTTCTTATGATCTAGATTCCCGTGTAAAGAATCCAGATAAAAAAAAAAAAATCCTTTGTAAAGTGCTCACATTGCATATCTGACATTGTTTTGAATATGATTACTTCTAATAGGAGGATACCTATAAATAGAAAAAAAAATTTTAATGTTTTAAATTATCTCAAACAAAGGAATATTTTGTTAGATGGTATGAATTGTCAAGCTAGTAAATTTATTTGATGATGATGATTTATTCGATCTTCTTTACAAAATAAAATGTTTCAATCTTAAATATTTTTTTTTTTTTTTTGGCCAACTGGTTTTATTAAATTTGAATATAGTACGTTATCTACAACTTGTTGATAAAAAAAATATAACAAGGAATCAAAAGGTCCAATGAAAGAAAGATCAAAGTATGAGAGTTCTTTCATCTCTATCCTTCTTAACAAAAGCTCTGACTTTTTATTAAAAATAAAGGGTCAAAATTTACCCAAAAAAAATAAAAGAAGAGTCAAAATGCTACAGTGCTTGCATTCACATGGGACGTCGTTATCAAATTCATGTTACAAAATTCATAGCCAAAAAAAAATTTTAATTTCCAATTTGATGACATAACTTACAAAGTACTGTGTTGTTTATTTTCTCTAATTATTTTTATAGCATTGCGTTGTTGATATTGGATTTTGGGAGTGTAAAGTATTTTTAAAAAGTATTTTTTTTAAAACGAGACAAACTCTTCCACATATCGTAAAAGTATTTTTAGAATCATGGTTTGCTTTCTACCCAAACACCCCCTTCTTCTGATTTGACATATTTAATATTTAAAAATGATACATTTTTCTATACAAAATTTGAAGCAAATTGCATCAAATGTTTTCTATAAAATGATTTTCTAGTCTAATTCATCATCAAAATCTCACTTCAAATCTATATGACGTTGTTTTTGTCCAAGCATTACATATTTAATTGACAGTATCCTTTTCTATAAAATTGACTTTCTTGCCTGTCATTTGGAAGGCTTGTAAGAACATAGTGTTAGAAAGTTGATAATGCATATAAGATTTAAAATAATATAATCGATACAGGACAGTAATTTTTTAATGACAAAAATATTGTTGGAATTTTTCATAATTCTAAAGTCATTGCTCATTATTTTACTTCAGCAATGGAAAATGCTACCTCCTCCAATGAATCTATAATACAGAGCAGTGATAATTACTTCGTGTTTTAGAGAAATTGTTCGTCAAAACTTCAATTTTCTCAATAATTTTATATCTTTTCAGTTATACTCCTTTAAAATACTCCTCATTTCTTGCATTAAAATAATATATGAATGATTTAATTAAAAAAACATGAAAACTACACACTTTCTTATATTTTGGATGAAGCAAAGCTTTCAGAAATTGCCCTCTATTGTATGTCGGAGGGAGTAAATAAGATTTAAGAGATTTGAAATTAAATCATAATAAAATTCTTGCTAAATTACTCTTATTGTTGCTAAAATAGATTAAATAAACAAATTTTTCTTACATTTTTTTGGGTTTTTTCTTTTTGCCTTGAATTGAATGATGTTAATTGAACATTTATCTAATGTGAAAAAAAATTCAAAACTGTTGTGAAAACATTACAAAATGTGTGTCAAATAAAGTCTCACGGGGAAAAGATAAGAGGAAGACAAGTGTGTATATGAGATCAAGCTTCTTTAGGGAGGTAAATGGGCCAAGAGAAAAGTAGGCATTGTGCACACAACAACGGGCCACCAGGAGGAAAACGTAGTTAAAAACTGGTGATTTCCCCCCTGTGTGTGAATTAGATGTGGTAACACACTCATTTTACGAAAATCAATTTTAAATATTTTACTAAATTTTCTTAAATAAAAAATGCTTACCGGAAAAGTCCTATTTTTGAACCTGTTAAAATTAAAAACGTTGTCGTGTTGTTTTGTGGCTGACCAGACATGTTTGGATCGTTCTATCTTCAACGGAACCTACAGCGAAATAGAGGGAAGTGTTCTCTGGTGGTGTGGCTGTTCATGTCTATATAAGGGCTCGTTGAGAGAACGTGAAATAATCCACTGTGGTCTTCCTCCTCTTCTCTATTTTTGTGTTCCTTCTGTTGCAACTGCTTTCACTGTTTTGCCACCTTCCTCCGCGAGAAGGGTTCGTTTGATCCTGGAGAGTGCCGCTTCCTGTTATGTCGAGGGGTTACGGAATATCTCTCAAGGACAGTGACCTTGTGACACGACTCGGACCGAATTTTGCTAGTTTCTGTTTGCTGCCGCCAACAAAAACAACTAAGGATTAAAAGTTTAATCATACACTAAAAACATATATAACTGATAATTAAGAGCTATTTCAACGCAAAAAATAGTTAAGATCTATTATGTCTTTATGATTCTTAAAATAAAACTATTTACGAACAGACAATACTTACATCAAATTATTTATATTTATTATGTTAAATTCTCTAATCACATATGGTCATGTGTCTTATTTTTGAAATATTAGCATTTTACTTATAAATCCACATAAAACACAAAAAAGACACATGGTTATATATGATTGGAGCATTTAACATAATGATATAATGAACAAAATGTATGAAGCTTTTATTGAATAATTTTAAATTGTCTTTCATAATTCCAAATATAAATTTGTATATATTTTTTATAATTTTTTTATTTAAATCTAGCTAATATATATAATTCCACAGTGTTATCTCAAATGATCCTTTTCAAGCCATTTTGAAAGCAATATGTAAGATAAACAGTAACATGAAAAAAAACTAATCATATTTATAACTATATATTAATTAGATTCCACGCCTACAAAATTTAAGACAGACTAAAAATAATATACACCACCTCCAGTCCTAATATAAAAGCTTGTTGGAAATTTGAGTTTAGCTCTAAATACAATACCTTAATTCATTTGATCTCATACTTATCATTTTTTTGAAGTACCTCTATTGATGGCACATGTTAATAAAATTTGCATCAGTGAGCAATTTCAATGCAAATAATTTAAGAAAGTATTTTAGGGGGAAAAAAACCAACATGTACTTTCAAAACATAACGAATCTAATTATTTTTCTTAATATGCTCAAATTAGTTAAGTGAATGTTAATTGGATCAGAGGTAGTATTATTTACAAATTTTGTTTTGGCACAACTCAGAGTATATTTAAGTTATTTTGGACTTAAAAATAATTTCTATTAGGCTAGGAGCATCAAGGTTAATGTTCTCCTAACAAGTGCGCTTTTCAGCGGGTAATCCTGTTTGAGACACTATCAGGTATTAAATATGGGCATCTCTTACAGTAAAAATTCAAACATTAGTTTATCATATTACAAAAGATCAACTCTTTTCATCAGACTCAATCTGGTAGTTTTACAATATTTTTTTTTTTGCTAAAGCATAAGTATCCTCCTATTGGAGACAATCCTATTCGAGACATTGTCAGATACTAAATGTGAATACCTCCCCTAACAGAGACCACGTTGTGAGGAACTAGTCTCTTCTGTTAGACCAAAGCCCCGTTGGTTGGTAGTTTTACAAATATTTATGAATACTCAATGGTACAACTTTACCATTTCAGGCCCAGTTGTTCGTTGGGCCTCAACGGGAAAACAACTTTCAAGTCTTCGCGGAAGGCCATCTGGTTTGGGAATGAAACCCCAGATTTCTCACTGCTTCTCATTTCACTTCCAGTCTTACTCCTCCCGCACAAATCTCAACGCTTGTTTGACCTGAAATCATCAACCCGTCTGTTGCGCAGCTCCTTAGTCCTCGCTTTTCAATCCTAGGTACCGCAGTTTTGTTTGTCGTCGCTTTGTCTGTTCATTTATTGATTTGTTAGTCGATTTTATGCATCCAGAAACATTTTGTTTTAGTGATTTACGGAATTATTGCGTTTGAAATCAGGTTTTGATTGTACAAGTCAAATTCTATTTGTGATTTAGTTGATAACGCCCCGCTATGTATATAAAGACCCGATCAATTGGACAGCTTATTGAATAATCATTATGCACGTCAATGGATGAGCATGTTTGGCAATTTCGTCTGGGAAGAGTTAATTTTTGCTTCGTAGAGTTTCAATGCACAATCTGTAAGCTAAAACTCATATGGTGAGAGTGCTAACAGCATGTAATGATGTGAAACCCCTTCTTATGACTGATATGTCCTTTTACATTTGAAGGTCATTTGAATATGCATTGTAAAGGTTTGAGGATTTTTTTTTTTTTTGATACATTATCTTTTTCTGCCAAGGTAGCTATTGATAAGCTTCTACATTCTAGAGCTCAAACTGGATCGGAATGGCTGAGAAGTCCAGCAGACCTGACGAGGAGTTGAAAGTGCTTGGCAAAAATAAGATCAATCAAAATTTGGATGTGTACATATGGGACATGGACGAGACCCTTATACTGCTGAACTCTTTGCTGAAGGAGTCCTATGCAGAGGCTTTTAATGGATTGAAGGATGTCCAGAAGGGTGTGGAAATTGGGAGGATGTGGGAAAAGCTCATCCTGCAATTATGTGATGATTATTTCTTCTATGAGCAAGTAAAGTTTGGCTATCATGTGGAGATCAATTGTTTGATTTCTGGAATATTCGTAATTTGATGTGGATTTTTTATGCAGATTGAAAATTACAATAAGCCATTTCTTGATATTTTGAACCAATATGATGATGGAAGGGACCTCTCTGATTATGACTTCAACCAAGATGGCTTGGGTGCTCCCCATGATGATGACAACAAAAGAAAGCTTGCATACAGGCATCGAGTTATAGCGCAAAAGTACATATTGGTAAAAATAAAATATAGCTTATGCTATACGCATCTTTGTATGAGTTCACTTTTTTTTACCTCTGCGCATTATAATGAAATGTATATCCTTTCCTAATTAAATATTAAATTATTCACTTTTTCGTAACAAGTTTAGTTGTAAATGAGTGTTACATCTGTGATGAATTGACCGAGGATCCATCACAAAGATAAGAGAAAGCGCTTCATTAAATTTGTAAGTAGCTACTGCAAAATGATTGGGAATTTAACTTCTAGATTCCCATATCAACAAACTGATAGTTATAATAGATGATAAAAAACTTTTTGACAAATTAATTCTTGTAATATAGGGTTAGACTACCTTTTCAAAATCCCCTTAGAAGCATAAGTGCATCAAATGCAGATAGTGATTTTAATGACTGAAAGTTGATGCACTTGATGGAGCATGAATATGTTAGAACTGAGAATAAGGTTGTAACCCAAACAAGTGGTGCTTTACTTTTTTTGCAAACTCATTCATCACTAGCATGATCTGGCGTGAAACTTAACCTTCTTATTCTTGCTTCAGGGTTTAAAGAATCTCTTAGACCAGGAGACGCTTAAACTCTGGGATCAATTGTATGAGACAACTGATGCATATACTGATAGTTGGCTTTCCTCAGGTAGTTTTGACTCTCTGACAATTTAGTGATTTTAATGGTGTCCTATGACTTGTTTTATTTATATCCCTCATCTTTGAAATACTGTAGCACGGGCATTTCTGAAGGAATGTTTGGGTGAAAATAAGGATGCAGATTCCTCTGTTGCGCTTCCTGAGACCAGTGCTAACTCAACCAATATGACACACCGGCATCTTAATGTTTTAGTGACATCTGGATCGTTGATACCCACCCTTGTAAAATGCATGCTCTTCCGTATTGACAACCTGATAACTCATGAAAATAGTGAGTCCGATTTTCTTTTGTTTAATTTCCATGTTGCAGAATAGACTCCTCATTCCTAATATGATTACAATTCGTAATGACATACCATTGCATTGCAGTTTATAGCTCATGGGACGTGGGGAAAGTTCAGTGCTTCCGATGGATAAAGGAGCGTTTTGACCTTCCCAATGTACGTTTTTGTGTGATTGGAGATGGATGGGAAGAGTGTGAAGCGGCAAAAATCATGAAATGGCCGTTTGTCAAGATTGACCCACGGCCAGGCACACCATACAGATTTCCTGGGCTCACATTGAGAACAGTGAGCCACTACTTTTCTGTGGTGTATGGAAGTCTGAATGATGAGAACGATGAAGAATAGTGTTCATGATGTTGTCATCCCCCTTTCTAGGATTCCAAATCTGTACAAAATTCCAGGCCTTCAAGTTTCAGCACATGCGTGGATCACGGCTTAGATGGTCGTCACAGCTTAGTACAGCTTATGCTGCTAGTTGATGTTGAATAGGGTAAGGGGAACTACTTTTCTCTGACAATTGTTAGATAGTAAGTTGTAGATATGAATTTAAGCTGTGGATCGTCTGTCACTCTTAATAATGCATATAGGATTGTACATTGTAAAGGCCCTCGTTTGTCCTTCTCCGTTATTGCTGGGTTGGCGCATATTTGGAGAGCCAGAAGAAGACACCTCCCCTGCGGCCTTTTGCCACACTATCTTCCAAAGCGAGATTTGGAAGATTGGAAATAGAATAGTTTTCAGGCGACGCAAATCAATCACATAACTTGAATAAATTAGAACCGTTGATCGAATGTCAATGTTCCAGGGAATTTTCTCCTGATAATTTGATGATTTCAATATTTATGCACTTATTTGTTCTGGTCTCGGAAAGTTGATTCACTCCCCTGGCGACTGCAACCATTTTTTTTTGGCCCAAGATCCATCTAGGATGTGAACTTAACTCCTAAAATCGGAGAAGCTTTGTATAAAAAAAAAACAAAAAAGTTCGGAGAAGCTCTCACACTATTATTCTTTTAGGGATATTGTGCTTAAATATTTTAAACATATACACGAATGAGCATTCAGTATTTGAGATTTTTTTTTGTTCTTACATGTCTTGAAAGTTTTATTTAATAACATTTCTGACATGAATTATTTTTTGTTGTTAAGTTTGACTGTTAAAAACACCAATCAAACTGTGTAATTTAACAGTTAAACTTAATGACGAATGACGTCCAAGGTATTTTTGAAAATAAACTTCCAGTTAAAAAAAAAAAATACTGGTGTTAGGTATTTTTTTATGAATACTTTTAAGGTATTTAAATACCTTATATTTTTTTTTATTTACAAGACTCTAATTTTAAATCTTACTTAGGATTAGAGTTCTTTTCATTTAACTTAATTACTTGTACCATTGATGATTTTGGCATATTTAGGAATGATAATGATTTTTTTTTTGGTCAAGAGTTTCTCTTTTCGAGGCTTTGCGCGTGTAAAGTTTTTTGCCTCTCTCAATAATTGCACGAATGATAATGACTTTTCATTTCAATGTTTTTAAGCAACAAAATTTATAAATTTGTATTAAATTTTAGGAATATGAACTTTGGCATATTATCCTTAACCTCTTGTCATTATCTTTCACTTGGATATAATTTTTTTTGTCGCTTTTATAAATATTTGCTGATTTTTTTTATTTATGCTATCGAATATTATTAATAATCAATTAAATCTGAGTGGTACTAATTATGCCGCAGCAAAACTCTGTTGATTCATTAATTAGTTGTCTGTCTTTTTGACAGCAGATAAATGAGGATTGGCGTAAGCTATACTATGCTATAAATCCACTCACTAACTGTCTTTTGCCAGTTTGAGGCATAGCCGCATAGATGGATTGATTTGATTTAAGGATAAGATTATTCACTCAATATTTCAATATGGATGAGATCGAGGCAAAATCTCCAAATGAACAATTCGTTCATTTGATTAATAATTCAGTCTGTGGGGATTACTTACTAAGGTAAGCTTATCGTTCCAATTTGTCAACAAGAGGGGCAGTTTCATTATCAACTTTGGCTTGTAATGCTGATATTTACTCCGGATCCTGCCAAGGTTGCCCCCCAATCCTTCTCTACCCCCCCTCTTTTATAATACTACTTCCGATCTTAAATATAAGATTTAGTTGACCAATTTGAATAGATTAAGAAAATAAGTTAAATTCATTATTTATAATAAATACGTGTTATCGTTACTAAAATATTCTCACTAATCAAGTTTATTGGCTAGAACTACTATTATTAGAATAACCATCTTGAAAAAAATTGATAAATATGAGAGACAAAATGGATTGGAGTATTATATTTAGAACTAAAATAAAAATTAAACGAAGTTTTATATTAAGGACCGGAGATATTACCTAACAAAGATAGTTTTTTTTTTTTTTGAAATAAATGAGGCATAAAGTAATATGAAATTATGTGCATGATTTAACCTGCAACCTCCTGCTTACAATCTAATAAGGATGAATTTCAATACCATATTCTACCTTTGTTTTAAGGACAAATTTTGGGTTAAGTTGCTCATGTCCATTAAATTAAGTTCACATACGTATTTAACAATAACAAAATAACAGATGTCTATATCAAAATTTACAAATTCTAATTTACATTATAAAAATCGGTATACAAAAATTTATGAGTATTTGCAGGTAACTTTACAAGTACACAGAAGCATTTTAACAATTAGTAATATCACAATAATAAATGTGTTTGGAGCTTGACCTAATGAATATAACCTAACTTGTTCCTCTTTTAAATATGCTTTCTTTATTTTTCTTTTCTTTTCTTTCTTGATTTTCCTTTTGGCCTTCTTTTCCCCCTCCAACGGGGTCCGGAGGCTAGAACGCGGAGAAAATCCTATAAAAGTACACAGCTTTGGTGGTCCCTCTGATCTTGCATGCATTAAGCTTATCTATGGGCCTTGTTTTTAGTTCTTTGTATCATCATAATGTTTCTCCCATTACAAAAATTGCTGGTTCTGTTCTGCCCATACCTCATAAGGACTTTTCTTAGTGGTTTCCTCTCCTTGGATCTTCTCAAATCTTAACTTTCCATTCTTTCACTTTCTTTGTCTTCTTCATTTTTATATTCTTCTCTATTCTACGCCTCAAATCCCCCCCCCTCTCATTATTTTCCCTTAACAATTATACATCCAGATACAGTTTCTTTCTGCAATGATTGTACAAGTAAATTTTGTCTTGGTACATTTGGTAACAGGTTTGTGTGTTGTCATTGCAGAGTTACATATACCCAGGAAGGGAAAAGAGCAAAACTTTTCACGGACATACTCAGAAGCCTAACGTGGCTCTGACTCACCAACTACAGCAATCATCTCATCTTCTTTTGTGCAATTATCACGTTGCTGTTTTAATCCATGAGAAATAATCCTCTCACCTACTAATTACAAATTCCTTGCTGATCAAGGAGAAGAAGTGACTCTTAACTACAACTGGAAAAAACTTGATATTGCAACCTGTTTTTGCAAGGGAATCATGTTCTGGGAGGAATTTTAATAAATAGTTAACAATAATGTGATGCTCTCTAAAAGCGCAAAGACAGAGAAAACATTGGACCACAAAGCTTAAATGCTCACTCAGGCTTGGTTGTGGCTTCAACATCCACAGCACACAGAGTGGTGAGAAGAGTTTTGCAGACGGCCCTGATTGCCCTGTAGAAGCAACGTGGCTCATTCTATACCATCAAACTCCATGACAGAAAAGGAAGCGTAGCTAGTTTGCATCACTCACGTGCGTGCACTGTATTGTTCACCAATGGTGAGGGGGGAGGGAGAGAGAGAGAGGTAGAGGGGGAGAGAGGGGTAGGACCCAGGATTGCTTGGCGGGGCTGATCTTGATATGCCACCAACAGAAACGGTAGTTAACCAGATATATAGTGGGAAAGCAAGCAATGAAAGTTTCTAAAACTTAAAGAATGAAGGTGAAAAAAATAGGTGGTCTTTTTACAATACAACTTTTCTAGCTCTATTTCTCTCAAATGCTCACTTATATCCTTTCTTTCATTTCCTCCTTCTCCTCCCTCTCTCTTTCTCTCTCCTCAAACTTCTTCCGTAGAAGCAGAGTAGCTAAGGGCACGTGTTTGCCGCACTACCCCCATTATTCAACTAAATTTCATTTCCTGTGGAGAAGGGTGCTCATGCTTTTCTGATTCTGGGCTTCTTGCATGGCTTTCTGAGGAGAACTTTGTGTAATCTGACTCTACTATTCAGTTACACAGGCTGTGCTCTCATTGGCAATTGGCATCAATGGCAAATTGTATTGTCTTTTCATGCCTTTTAACTCCATCGACATTTGTATTACTTTCCTCCCTTATTTTTTGAATCTTTACATTCTCTCCTCTTTTTCCAGGAATTGTGAAATGGGAGAGAGAGTTTTGTTCTCTGCGTAGATATTGGAAGAGAAAGAAATATTATTCTTGAGAGATTATAATGCCAGTTCCACTTGCCCCTTACCCTACACCCCCAGCTCCATATACGCCTCCAGCTAATGGTATCTTTCTTTTTCTGTGCTTGCTTTACTCATTCATGTCGTTCCTCTCTGGTCGCTTGCTAAGAAAGTAGCCTAGAAATCTTAGCACCCAGGAACTTTGTGGTGATGATGGATAGATTGAAGGAGGATTTGAACTTTTATAGCTTATTTCATTTTGGAAATTGCTATGTTCTCTTTTGTTATTAGTAGCCAATGTAGGAAAGAGAGCAAGTAATTAGACAGGACGAATATAAGATTGAAAGGAGTTAAAAAAAAAGGCAATTCTGCTTTCCCCCAGGGAACGGAAAATTGGTGAATTAAACATGAAGATGTGTTTGATAAAATTCCTTAGTGACTCTGTTTTGTATCGAATACGTGGATTTGACCTATCCGATAATATGTCTTCATAGTCCAGTTTCTCACTTGGTGTGGAAGCTACAATTTACTTGCTATAGTATCAATTTTAAAAGGGAAAAAAGATAGTATTTCTGGTCATAGATCATCCATTTGACAATGAAACTTACAAATGATTTGTGAAAATCTGGGTTTGTAAGGAGGTACACAACAGAGTCAGCTTGTGTGTTGTGGGTGTAGAAACCTTCTGCTCTATCCAGTTGGAGCAACATCTGTGTGCTGTGCTGTTTGCAATGCAGTCACTGCAGTGCCACCTCCTGGTATGCTTCTGTTCCTCTCTTGGTCTATATGTTTTCTAATCAATATGTTATATGAGCTTAATTTTCTGCCTGTGTCACAAAATAAGCTCTTTTGATGAATGATATACATAAAGAGTTGGTTATTGATAAAACACAATAGTATAAGGCAATTCATATAACCGGCCTACCTAGTGGATAAGACTTATTGTTATCATCATCATCACCATCTACAAAGCATTTTTACATGGTCAGGCACAGAAATGGCCCAGTTGGTTTGTGGAGTCTGCCACACTTTACTCATGTACATACGTGGGGCGACAAGCGTGAAATGCTCCTGCTGTCACACTGTCAATCTGGCTCTGGAAGGTATTCAACTATTTAAGGTTGTACCTCTGTATAAAGGACACTTGGATCCGGACATGTCTTTCTAGTGGGCTATCATATTGTTATGAACTTATGATCTGAATCGCTACTGTGCATTTGTGACAGCAAATCAGGTGGCACATGTCAATTGTGGAAACTGTAGAATGCTACTGATGTACCAATATGGAGCAAGATCTGTTAAATGTGCAGTCTGCAATTTTGTAACATCTGTTGGGGTTAGTGCAGTCTCCTAGTCCTATACTTACAGCTCATTTATCTCATACATTTCCTTCGTTTGCTTTTAACAACTAAAAAA